CCCCCACCCCCCCACACACACACACCAACCCACTCACGTACACCCAGGTCTTGAAGGAGCTAGCCCCGTATAAGAACCTCGTCGTGTCGACCGGCGGCGGCGCCGTCACCAGCCCCATGAACTGGAGCTACATGCACAATGGCATCGTGTGCTGGCTGGAGGGGCCGTCGGACCTGCTGGCCCGCCGCGTGGTGGCTGAGGGCGTGGAGAAGCGGCCGCTGCTGTACGGGGACGGCGTGACTGGTGGGTTGTTTGAGGCGGGTTTTGGGTTTAGGGTCGACGCAAAATTCAGGTTGGGGTGGGCTTGCTGCTGTATGGGGGCGGTGTGACCAATGGGTGCGGGAGGCAGGGCAGGGCCAGGAGCAGGGGCGGGTTGAGGTAGGAGGGGGCCTGGAGCTGGGGAGTTTGCAGGGGTGAAGGGCGGGGACGGGATGGGTTTGGGGTGGTGGGAGGAGGGGACGGACTGGGGGTCGCGTGATGGGAAGGTGACAGGTGGACGCAAGCGGTTTGGCTGTAGCTTAGGGAGGGGTTCTGGCCTGTTTGCAGCCTGGCGCTCCAACTGAGGGTGACCCGCAAGCGGGGCGGCTTTTGCGGCGGCCGGCAGGTCGCAGTGCGCTCGCACACAGGAGCGCAACGGACATCATCCACGTCACTGCACGCTGCATACGAAACATAGCACCAAACATCGCTGGGGCGGCCTTCAACCGCCCCTTTGCTGACTCTGCATTGCCGGACTGCCCTCAACCGTCAACCGCCAACCGCAGCCGAGAACGCGTACGAGGTCGCGCATGGGAAGCTACAGGCGCTCCTTGAGGCTCGCGAAAAGTACTACGAGAACGCTGGTAGGTGTAATGTGGGAGTGTAGTAAGGGAGGGTTCAAAACACCTGGGCCTCATGATTGGGAACACAGTCACGCGATGCACTCTCCTGCCGCAGCTCTGAGCTTCTTGCGCGCAGAGGCCTCGCTGGCGCCTGCAGTGCGACGCCGGGCACCATGAAGATCCACCCAGAGGGTGCAACACGCGCTTCACATGTGTGTACGCCGCGGGCCCTGCCTCTCCACCGCGCTTTCGCCTCCCCTAGTCTCACCGCCTCCCGCTGCCCCTTACTCTTCATCCCGACGCCGACCGGAAGACGTGCGGGTGCCCCTGGACGGCGTCGCGGCAGACGAGGAGACGGGGGCGCCGGCCGCGGTGGTTATGTACCGGCTGCTCACCCGGGTCCTCGAGAGGATCGAGGCGACAAAGGCGGAGAGAGAGGCCCGCAAAAACTTCACAATCGAGGGCCTCGGACCCAAGGCGGCGGCGGGCGGCGGCGGCGGGGCGGCGCAGCAGCAGCAGGCGGCGGAGGAGTGACCATGTGAGGGGAGGGGCGCGGCTCGCCGGCGCCGTCCCGCTTTTGCTCTCTCCTTGGCGGTGGGGGTGGGCGTAATCGCGGCGTATCGCACTTATGAGACGCGTTGTGTTCCATTACCCATCAAAAGCGCGCACGTGTGCCGATTTTCAATTGGATGCACTCACCACTCGCGGTAAGCTGTGCGCTGGCAACACGGCCCCTGCGGCAGCCGCAGTCGCAGCGGCGGCGGGAGCAGCAGCAGCAGCAGCAGTAACAGCAGCAGCAGCAGCAGCAGCAGCAGCAGGGAGGGCTTTGAGGCTGCATATTTGGATAGCTGTACGTTGCACGGCTGAGAAAGAGGCACACCTCTTACCGGGGCAGCCGTGGGTGGGGGTGGTCAAAATCTGGCGGCCATCAGGGCTGCAGGGTAGTGGGTGACCAACGGCCTGGCTGTTGATTGCAAGGGTACTGCCTGATGCAGAGGCTGCACATTGAGCTACAGCGATGCACTGCGTTGAGCAGGAGCAGCGGCAGCAACAGCAGGGTCAACAGCAGCGAAGGCACCAAGCAACAAGTTCCCTGCGCGCGGGGGGGGCCCTGCAAGGCGACAGGCGTGCTCCTGGTCCAGCTACACGTGCCTGCATGAGGGAATACGCACTATATTACACAACTGCGCCAAGGGATGACATGCAACCGAGTGTGCCGGAATCGTCAAACCAGACTGGATTGTTTTGCACACAGGCCCCATGCGAAACTTGGTGCAAAGGTAGGGAAGGGCCTCGATTTGCGCTGCAGGGGATGGATGAGTGGTTGGCAGTCCAGCCGGCAAGCACCGCCTTGTGCCGGCCAGAAGGAGAGGGCGTGTTGAAAGGCGGGCGTTCACGCCCATGATGGAATGCACATGTGCAAGGTTCCGGCGTGTATGGGTGCGAGCAGTGCGGGCGAGTGTCTGCCTGGGAAGAAAGGGTGCATGTGTGGATGTGGATGCGCATATGTTGTGAGGGTGTGCGAAGTCCCGCCGTCAAAACCCATTGCAACGGCTTGGGACAGCCCTGGGTTTGAGGCTCACAGCACCGGCGCCCGCGGCACCAAACGCCGGCGGCCCGACAGCGCAGGAAGGAATGGCCTCGTCAAAGCGGGCGCGTGTTTGAAGGGGCGAGGGCGCCCAGGCGGCTCGTTGAGGGTGATGGGAGCCACCCGCGAGGGAAGGAATGGCCGAGGTTGACCTCGGGGCATTGGATGCACCAAGGTGGGGCCTGGTGCCAGGGTCTGATGCAGTGTGGGTGGTGCGCAGTCTTGCCTGCTGGGGTGGCCAGCCAACATGATAATTGCCACCTGCAGCACAAGCGTAGTTTTCAAAGGCGATGGCAGCCAGAGAGAAAGGGAATCCCTGGCACAGGCCCATCCCGTGCACAGCAAGAGATGGGAAGGGAACAAAAGTCCTTCAGCGAGGCTGCCCGCACGCAACAGCAGCTGCTGCGCCGGGGCAGCGTCAGGGCCCGCGGGCCTGCCTGTTGTTGACGTCATGCACAAGCCAAGCGCCAGGCAGTGCAAACTGTACGGTGGTTTTAAGAAGAGGCGCACATTGGCATGCATGCGTTCGTGTGTGGCCGGCGACACTCCCGCCCCCTTCCCCCTTTGTTGTGGAGGCGCGGATTGGGGGCGGCTAGAGCAACAAACCCAATGCAATGAGTCTGGCATGGCGACACAAAGATTCCGGGTAAATGCATTGCCTGGCTGCGGCGCAGTGTGGTGGGTCACTGTGAACTGGCACCCTTTAAAGCATCAGCTCGCTCACAGTGGTCGCCTCAGATACAGGGGATTTGAACTCAAGCTTCCCTGAGGCCTTCAGGGCCAGGGTGAGAGTCAACTTGGTGGATGCCGCGTCACCGATTGTAATCTTGTTGAACGAGATTGCAAAGTTGGTGCACGTCAAAGTGACATCGCTCGACACCTGACAGATTGAGAGAGGGGTGTGCATGATGAAGCAGGGGTTTACCACCGTAAGATCAAAGTCCGGCGCGTACAGGCGACGATCAAGGTATGCAGGGGCGGGCGCGACGGCTGAAGTCACTTGACCACTTGCTTCGTGCCAGCAGCTCTCCAACCAACAAGTTCACCAAGGCAGTCAAATCAACCGAGTGGACACCAGGCATGAAGCTCCCCCAGAGCAGCCTTGGGATTAGCTTCGCGCTCACCTTCAGTGAGCATTTGGTGGTGGAAGCTGCCACCAAGCCATCCGCACCGCCCTCCGCCAGCTCAATGCTCTGGTCAATCGAGCCTTCGTACCCAGCCTTGCGGTAGCTGCCAGAGGCCTCGAAAGTGCCGCCAGCGATGCTGGGTTTGACTTTGTATGTGCCTGCACTGTTGACGTCCAGGGAGGACGGCCCGGAGAATTCCAGCTGCCGCAATGCACAAGGTGGGTGCGGCGGGAATCAGGGGAAATCTTAGTCGCTGAGAAGCCGCGCGCAGAGGCAAAGCCTGAACAGAGGTGTGGTAGCGTGCTTGCTGTCTGCCCAAATCAACTGCACGCATGTATTATCGGAGGGCGCGGAGGGATTGCAGCCGCGCTCGGTAACCACTGTAGCTTCAGGTCGCACAGGCAGGTTGCTTGCAATGAACACCTCATGCGTGATGAGCGACCGGTACGCTGCAAGCTCACATCAAAACTGAGTCCACTGACTCCAACAGTGGCAGTGATGAAGTCCTTGGTGTCGCTGTCAGGCTTGCCCTTTGAAACTTCAACCTCAAAGTCCTCCACATCAACTGGTGGGGGGTTTGAACGATGGCAAACTTTTTGGGCAGGAGGTTGACATGAGTAATTGATCCAGGGTGCGCAGCACCGCACCAACATGGACAATAAGGAGCAGCGGTTGAATTACGCTATGCTGTGCCCGGCGATGGACGTGCGCAACCGCCGGTCTGCTCGCGATTGATTGATCGTATCGGCCCGCCGACTGCCATCCTCGACTAGTTGCCTGCTGTCCCTTACGCGCCCTGCCCTGGGCACGAGCTCACTGCGGAAGTGCTCGTGACCGGTGGTGCCAACGGTGAGCCCCGCCAGCGCCTGAGTGAGGTCCTTGAAACTCGGGTCACTCGGGCTCACGCTTGTGGCCGGGAAGCTGCAGGTGCTCCCTGCGCCCGCGGCGGTGCGGAGGGGCGACCGTGTGCGCAGCAGAAAAAGACGTCGGTGGGACACGACAGCTGGCAGGCCAGGCATGCACTGTCAGGCAGCATGACTCATCGGCGCAGAATAGGGGCATCCAACAGGGCAGCCGCCGCGCGTGGGAGGGTCGCACCCGTCGCAAGCCGCACGGGTACGTTGCCTGAGATCGTCCCCCTGCTATCATCATTTACGCTCTGGCAGTGGTGGTGGCGCGCACGATTGTGGGAGGCTGGTGAGAGCAGGTGAACCAGTCGGCAGCGCCGCCGCTGTCCTGAAAAACGGGCGCCGGTTCGCACAGGGCGCTAGTGCGCGACGGGCGCCGAGCGCGGGCTGTGGCCACCCAGGCGCCGGTGCAGTGCAGCCACGGCCAAGTTGCAGTCGCAGCGATCCGCAGGGAGAACCCATCCAGCGCGCGAAATAAATCTTGAGGCGCCGTGGGAACCGCAGCCCCTGGCGGCACCCAGGCGCTGCAGGGTGGCGCCGACAGCGCGAGCATTAAGAGTGGGTGAAAGCGGGCGCTTGAGCGCGTACAAACCCACCTTGGCGGCCAAGGTGATTTTGGCCTTCTTGTCTTTGCCCTTGTCGTTCGTGTAAGTCTCAGTGATGCTGGCGGAAGCCTCAAATCCCATCAAAGCCGACCCAGTGGATTCCAGGTCTGCATCGCATGCGTGAGCGCGGCCGTATGCATGTGCAGCGTGGGCTTGAACGTGTGCGCATGGTGCGAAGCGCGCATGCCAAGGTGGCGCTAGCAAGAACCGGAATTGCATGTGGATCCTTGCGTAAATCATGAGGACATGTTTTTGGCCTGTTTGGCTCCTGGCAATGTGCCCCGGGGCAACTGCTGCGAAGGCGGGGGCACCATCACCGGTGCTGCTGCCGCTGGCATGTCGGGCATGTCGCGCTGCTAGCTCGCCTCCAGACGCTCACCAAAGACACAGTCGCCGACTGACAGGTCGGCGCTTGCGCCTGCAGCCAGGATCAGCAGTACCAGCCCCACAGCAGGGACGCAGAGGAGCCTCGCCATCGTGATGCGAGCCTTGGATCGAGAAGTGCAGTCAGAGGTTGGAGGCAGGGCACAACCTCGCAACTTTGTGTTTTGCAAGAGGAAGAGTCCTCAAGGCTTGAGAGAGATGAATGTGATATATCTGTCAACGCTCCTGTGTGTGATGTGGTGGCAATTTACGTGTTCACAGCCGCGTTCGTCGTTGGCTTCCGAGCAAACTACCGCGGACACCCGGTGGAACCACCGCGAGACAGTTCATAACAGTTCATGGACTAAAACGAGCCGTAAAACACGTAACGACGGCTGCACGCACCGTTTTGGGTTCCGGGCAGCGAGACCACAAGCGTACGGTATGTGAGTATGCTGCGAACAGCAGTGCGTTGACGAGAGTGACGCAAATAAAACCGCGATGAAGCGCTATATAGAGCTACGCGGACAGGCATTGCGGATGTAAGCGCCGTGTCCAGCCAATGCGTAGCTTGGCAGGGGTCATCAAGGTGACTTGCAGTGACGCAATGGCACCAGGAGGTTGAACTCGCGCTCAAGGGGCGCTGCATGACCCATGTTTAAAACTCAGTGAGAAGCTTCCTTAAAGTGTTGCACATGATGGATCAAGGCAGCCAGCATCTGCGCCGGAACCTCAGAACAGTGGTGCAGCGGTGGCAGCTGGTTTGGTGAAACCAGGTGGGAAGCATCCAAGGCCCGCACTTGTGAGGCCACAATGGGGCATCAGTCATGCGCCCTCGCGCCCCTTCACAGCGTATTCAGCCGTTCATTGGACGCACGCAACAGCTGGCGTCAGCAGGCGCATGCTTGCCACCCTTCTTGCTCCCGCCCTCCCTGCTGTCAAGCGCTCCCCCTTTGTTGCTGGCACTCCACCCCGGGCCCTGCCCCTCACGCACCCCTGCTTGCTGTTCCGCCACCTCCGAGTTGCAGCAGCCCGGAACCAAAGTACGCGGCTTGGGTAATATTGCCGCCTCAGCACCACATCACATCAAATCCACATCAGCGCCTGTCTGCTGCCTGCAACGCCTATAGGGGGGGCATGCAAGCTTACCACGGCCCGCCAATCAAATACATGGCTGGAACTATTAATTGCTACAAAAGAGCAATTGGCGGGCCAGGGGCCTGCCCTGCAAAGGTTGATCATACAGTGACAAAGGTGCAGGGACTACTACAATCATGGCAACCACCAGACGAAGAGCCAAATAATCCAGCAGGTGTGCCCACACGGCGCCCTCCGGCAAAACCGCTCAGAACCGCCTCTGCATCTTCCCCGGCGGCCGCAGCTTCCGCTGGGCCCATGTTGCCTTGACCTCGCGCCCCCTCGCCGCGTCCGCGGCCTGCCGCCGCGTCGCCCCCCACCCCTGGCCGAACCGCAGCTTCCGCAGCCGCTTCAGGCGCTCCCGCTTGATCTTCGCAAACAGCTGGGAGCGCTGCTTCAGCTGCACGCGGCGCCTGATGGCGAGCTTTTCGTCCCGCTTGCGCTGGATCGTCGCCATGCGGCCCGCCGCCTGCGTCAGCAGCAGCCGGAGGCGGTCCTCCCTCGGCCAGTGCTTCAGGCTGATGTACGCCTCCCGAATCTGTTGGGTTATGTGATGGGGTGTGTCATCATGCAAAAGAGCAAACAGCTGTGTTCGTTGGTTTCCGGGGCGGCAGCCGTGCTGTGGCTGCATAGGGGAAGGGTTTCCATCGCCGCGGTCAGCCTGGCCATGCAGCCTGCCAGCGGCCGCGACCAGGGGCCCGGCGGTGCCAGGGGCTGCACGTACGCGCTACCAGCCTGCCACCACCGGGCAGATCGCGTCGTGGCGGCGCGTCATGCCCATGCTTCCCCTGTCCCCTGAATCCCTCCCTCCTCCCTCCTTGCTGCCTAAACCTACTCTTCCCGATAACAAACATCAAACCACCCCCCAGCCGCGCAACGCACCCGCACGAGCTCGTCCAGCGGACACCCCCTCCCCAGCCGCAGCACCGCCGACCCGTGCCACGTCAGCAGCTCCCGCCTCGCCCCCCCAAATTCCAGCGCCGCGCACGCCTCTGCCAGCTCAGCCAGCTGCCCGGGCGTCGCGGCGGCGACCCCGGCCTCGGCGGCACGCCCGCCGGCCAGCAGGCGCAGCAGGCGCCGGTTGCGGCGCGCCCAGTCGGGCGGGTCGCGGAGGAGGCGCGGCAGGAGCGGCAGCAGAACAGGCAGGATCTCGGGTTCTGGCGGGCACCTGGCGGTGAGTGTGGGTGTGTGTGGGGATGCGTTTTACATGAGGCGAAAACATACGGTGTCGGAGATAGCTGGGCGGGAGCTGTGGGGCCGAGAGGCGCGGGTCCGAAGGATGTGCGCGAGTGGCCACTGCTTGTTCTCACCCAAACATGAGGCATGACTTGCCGCACGGACGCAACCTGCGCACCCAAATTGAGCACAAGCACCTGCCGCCTTTGCGACACGACATACTGGCCGCCCGCACCTGCCGTAAGCCTGAAGCAGCCGCGACACCCACACACCAGTCGGCCGCAGCCACCTCGCCGACCGCGCCGCCGCCGACAAGAAGGCGCAAACCTCCGCGCCCCTGAGCAGCGGCAGCCGCTGCTGTGACCGCCCGCCTTCCGAGTCGCCCTCCTGGTCCCAGCTTTCCAGACTCTCGCCTTGATCCTCTACCTCTGCCTCAGCGCGTTCCACCTCTCCTGCATCCCCATCATGCTGCTGCTGCTGCTGACCCGGCTCGTCGCGCCGCCGCTGCTGCCGCGCCGGCGCCGGCGGCGGCGCCCGGCGCGCCGCCACCTCGAGCGCCGCCGGCAAGAACGCCTCGCGCCACTCCAGCCCCGCCCCCTCTGCCGCCGGCCCCAGTTTTGCCGCGGCCGCACCCAGCAGATCTACGAGCTCCCAAAGGGAAGCTGCCTCCCCCAGCCGCGCCGCGCCGCCCAGCAGCAGCCCCTGCGCCCAGCCAGCGGGCGGCTCGAGACTCAGCCTGTCTGCAGCAAGGAGCGCCTTGTGAACGGCCGCGGGCGCGAGGCCGCCGGGGCCGCTCGCGGCGACGAGCAGAAGGGGATTGTATGCGTCCGGCGCCGCCGGCGCGACTTGGTACCTAACGCATTGCAATGGATCCATGGGTGGAGGGGTCCATGGGCCGAGGGGTCGAGGCGGCGGTGAGAGGGGGCCGTGCTGGCGGCAAGAGGCGCAGGTCACCCGCCGTGGGGAGGGGTTGAGTGGCCGGAACCAGCGCAGCTGGCGGGGAGGGGGGCTTACGCGCGCCATTTAGAGTGCCGGACCGCAACCCTGACACTCAAAACCGAGCACAATCCTCAACCCTCAAATTTAAACCCCAAAACTCCAGGGCAGATGGTCGTCTGCAATGCAGGCCAGCTCTCAAGCTGTGTGGCAGCATGGGTCATGACCGGCGGTCCCACCTGGCGAGACCCCACAGCATGCCGGCCGCGCTCGACGCGTCGGCCCCATCCGCCGAGCCCAGCGCCGCAGATCTGAATTCCGCCAGCCACGAAGCTCTGAGGTTGACCCCCATATCTGCGGCTGCGCAGATCAGATCCGACAGCGCCGCGGGCGGCGCGCGTGCCAGCTCCGGTTTCAGCGGCGCGAGGAGCGCCTGCAGCAGCGCCGCGCGCGGCGGCGCCGCGGCGGGCAGGCGGGCAAGGGATGCGAGCACGCACGCGGCGCGCTCCACGCCCAACGGCGCCGGGCC